ATCTTGTAAATCATCCTAGGATCCAAAGACCTCACGAAATAAAACCATTTTAGGGACTTCCCTGAATACAAAAAGTTGGGAAGGATGATTGAACATCCAGGAAAAGGATGTTCTATATTTCTTGGGCTATTACCAAGAAGAGCAGTTCTCAAATCCAGGCCCCCCTGATTCATCTTGAAGCACAATATCCCCGTGGCACGACAAAACCATGCTCGTCAAAATAGCGGTGATAAAACCGCGTCGCTAAAGCCGCGACGTCATCACCACGCGTCATCACCGCCACGACCACAGCGCGGCGGCAGAAGGGTGCTTTAAAACAGAAAGCCGATTTAAATTAAGGTAAGGGTTAGGATTAGGTTTAGGGATTAGGTTTAGGGGTTTGCTTTTGGGTTAGGGTTAGGGTTAGGGTTAGGGTTAGGGTTTGGGTTAGGGTTTGGGTTAGGGTTAGGGTTAGGGTTAGGGTTAGGGTTTGGGTTAGGGTTAGGTTTAGGTTTAGATTTAGGGTGCTGAGTGCTTCGGACGGAGCGGATTTGCCCTCCGCACTTATGTTGGCGCGGATAAGGGCTTCGCGGTTTTGTGGTGGAACACAATATCCCTTGATGTTCAGCCGTGTCAGGAAGAGTCATATATGGTTATAAGAAAATTTCAGCAACTTCGCAAATGGTCTGGAGTAAAAACTGGTGACATTTCTCTCCCAAGAGGTCAATGTTTAAATTCTATGTCCTCTTATTTCAACTGCAACAAAAGAATGTTGCTATGATAGAAGAGATGAAGCCCAAAGAATGTTGTTTTTGATGCCAATTTAGAACTGAAAACAATTTTTCTCACCCAACAAACAACATTTTCCTTTAAAGTAACGTAACTGGATGCTTTCTACTCCAATCAGCTCTAACCCAAGAGAAGGCTGATTCAAACGGAATCAAATCTTACAGCGTCATAAATCAGGATGTCTACCTTGGATTGGATAGTGGTGGAAAGTCAGTATAACTAAGATTCATTGGGAGTATTATTTATATCAAAGCTCAAGGCAAAGCCAGGGAGAAGAAATAGCTTTTCACCGACAGACATATGGATAGATTTGCTTTTTGTTGTATCAATTCTACCTTATGCCAAGACAAAGCGAGTTCATCTGTGTGTTTACACATTTCCTAGTTTAGACTCCTTGGCTTCTTCTGCATTTCATCAGCGAACACCCAAGGCAAGAAGTATTGTTTTACTAAGCATATGTCAACACGGTAATAAAAGATAGAGAAAATGAGATTTAAGATTCTCTGAGCATTTGATGCATTTCCCCTATTTGCTGCATGGAATAAGAATAGCTCTGGAAGCCAGCTAGCTTAGCAACTGAGTGTAAGTTGACTGCTCTCTTCAGTAGAAAAATCTTGGCTCAATTAAACATGTCATACTCTTAAGAAAAGGTATTTTCCTCCCATATTATGCTCCAGGGACTATTTTTATCTCCTTGAATATTAAGGAACCTGCTGCATGTAGAGCCTCTGGTACTTTTCTTGAACTAAAATTATCTTCTGGAAATGATGTAAAACTTTGCCTTCTAGATTCCAATTTCAGTTTGATTGTTCCATTCCTTGCAAATGTGTAGATTCCTTGTAGCCTCCTTACCCCTTGTACTCCTTCTTTATTAGATTTTTCACAGTGGGGAAAAATAGGTTTGGGAAATTTGATTATATGGCATGAGATTCTACTAAAATGGTTTCAGAACATCTTTTCTCAATATTTTTTTAAAGGTGCTTATCCTTTCCAGATATTTTTACAAACAGATCACAATCATATGACTGGGGGGATAGTGAATCAAGAGTCCCAAAACACACACTCACACGTAAGTGCATATAGACAACAGAGAGAAATCAGCCTATTAAATAGAAACAGTATCTAATGTAAGTCTAAGAAAAACATGGCATGCAGTCCAGAGTCATAATAGGTAGCTTGATAGAAATAAATCTTTTCAATTATTCACTAGAAAGATAATGCAAATTTCAGGGAAATACCAGAACCAAATAATAAAGAAGGATTTTAGATCGTGCCTAGACTGTCATAGGGAACTTACTACACTCTTAACTGCATTGCTTCTCCCACTATCTAATTGCAATATGAAAATATGAACTACATGTGTAGATATAATATTGTATAATCATATATGTTGTATAATAATAGATGCTTTCTGGGGTTAATTTTCTTGACAAGTTAGGGATAAGTAAGCAAATGTGCCTATTTCTATCCTAGAAATAGGAGAGAAGGAAGGAAGAGGAAAGGAGAGGAAGGAGGGAAGGGATAGAAAGAGAAAGAGATAGGGCAGGAGGAGGAAGAGGAAGAGGGGAGTAGGGAAGAGGCAAGGGAAGAAAGAAAGGGTAAGGAGAGGAGGAAGGGAGGAAGGAGTAAAGGGAGGGAGGGTGAAAAGAAAAGACAAAATTAGGGTGGTGATAATACAAAATAGGTAGAATGTATACTTTAACCCTTTGTATGGAAAAAAATAAATATGCAAAAGTGATAAAGATAAACAAGAA